TAGCAACTCATTCAGAGCTTCATCTGAGGTAGATGTTAGCTGCAAAACAATAGATCCTGCCACAATATATTTTAYCACCAGTCCATCTGGTAATGCATCACTTATCATGTTGATCAGAGATTCTGGATCATTTTTGTGGCAGAGGATTATGAAAGCACCTACAGGACCATCTGTCTCCTCTTGCATTATCGACCTCCAAGTGCAATAGACATTGACTGTTATAATTTGAAAAACGTTTTGTCAAAAAAAAGATAATTATTTGTTTTAAGGAATATATAAAATGCGCATGTCCCTGTACTGTGATGTAAACACACTGGGAGCTGTTAAGTAAGGTGGCATAGCCCAAGCTAGCTAAATGGGCTATAAACTCATAAATACTGTTTTTTTTAGCCATTCATTAAATTTTTTAAAACAAACATTAAATATTAAGATAAAACAACAACAACAACAAAAAACAAAACACTGAATCCCAAAACATTTCTTATTCATGAGGATAATGATCTCATCTTAACTTATATAATATGTTATATGCTTTTGAATTTTGAAAAACTYGACAACAGTAATCAGGAAAAGAGTTGTGAAGAAGGTTCAAGAGGGTACAGGGATTTTTTAAACTGGAAAATGGGATTTGATTTAGAGACTGGTCATAATGTATAGGGGGTGGGTGGGGGGCAAAATCAGAATAGAATAAGTGTTTTTTTTATCTTGGCCCATCATGAAATGATGCTGAAAATGGGATGACCCAACCCCAGTTTAGAAGCAAAATTAGAGATAGCTGTGGACGGCCTGCGAGGGCTGTTGAAGCTCACACAAACATTCAAACGGTCTTCCTTTTCTTCTAATTTCTCTTTTTATTTCGAAATACGCACTCTGATAACAAAAAGCTAATATTGCTGATAACAACAAATAAGTCATTCAAACTACTAAAGAATATAATATTATAGACTTCAATTCCTAAACTTAAATTAGAGATAATTTAAATATAATATGAAAATTTCTAGCTGCTAAATAAATTTAAATGTTCTTACAGTTTTCGAAATCTTTTATTTTTTTGTTTTGCCCTGGTATATACGGATTTGGTTGTTAGCGTGTCGACTAAATGAAGTTGCTTTCCACTTGTTCAGTGCCTGCCTTTCTGTTACTTCAGTTTTCACGTCTTTAAAGACAAGCTGGCAACTTATAAATACTTTTTTCGGTATCACAATTGTAGATTTTAGTTGTAACTTTTTTCTTTCTATTGTGAAGAGGAGTTCTTTCAGTGGACGTTTTTAGCTCAGATGGTATCTCTGGCTTGATTTCTTCGCTTCGCTTTCTTCGCTAACTTATAAGTACTGTTCTATTTGATAATTTGGCGTTCAACTGACCTCACACAGGGCACAGAGCGTATATAAGGCCGAAACACAATACATTTACACGTGAAAATGAAAGCAATATACAATACAATCATTATGATAATATATGACTACTTTACGTAAAGTTTATGAGTATGAATTAGTAATTAACCTACTATTCCATGACAATGACCCACCCCTGAAAAAAAATCTAAATCCCAAAAGAATTTTCTTGGTTGCACACGTCTACCACTTATTGTAACATTGACTGTTTCGGCTTCTTCTTTCGCTGTCATCGTTTTCCTCACTATCAGTAATTCCTATTTCATGAGTAACAATGTCAGTTTCTTCGTCGCTATCCAAATCTTCAGTGTCCTCGCGTGAAGTACCATCTTCTTCATGCTCTTCCTCTGTTATACTTGTCGTAGTATTTAATAGCTGCATAGACAGCCAAGCATTTATTACTTGGACTTTCTCACTTTTGTACATTTTGAGCTTGAGCCAGTTGTCCTTTTTTAAAAAAGAGGTTCAAGACTGCAACCCTCTGCTTCTTAAAGCATTCCGCTTTCTTGTATGTCTTTCCAGTCATAGTCTTTGTATGCTTTAAGTTTCTCTGCTTCCTTATTTTTTTTCTTTTAATTTGCCCTTTTAAATTTTTTCATTCGAAGGTACTACAGATGTTCCACATATTTCCTAACCAGATCCTCTGCAACTTCAAATTTCCTTGAGAAATTATGCCGATGGCAATTATAATACTACCCTGTTTTGTAATTGCCCACCCTTTTTAGTTGTCAAATTATTTCAACAGCCCACCCCTTTGAAGGAGTTCAAAATTGTGTGACCCACCCCCGATTTCGCCCACCTCCCCACCCTCTCCCCCTCTATACTTTATGACCAGTCCCTTACAAGGAATGGGAAATGTAATCAACAACATGGAAATTCTTCAAGGTTTTTTACTAGGACTGGGATTTAGGTCACTGAGAATGTAAAATAGAATAAACCAACATGGGAGTTCTCCAAGGTTCATCGCTAGGACTGGAATTGAGGTCACGAAGAATGGGAAACAGGTTTGACAATTTAGGAGTTCCTCAAGGTTTATCGCTAGGACTGGGATTTAGATCATTTGGGAAAGGGAAATAGTGCTGCAACATTATGACCCTAATTCAGTTTAACACTAATTGGTTAATTAGAATAAAAAACTGAAAATGTAAAAGTCTTATTATTTGTGGCAAATATTCTAGAGCTAAGAAATTAAATATGGAATAGTCCCCTTCACAGTTCCCTGCGCCATCTCGAAAGGTAGCCGTGCCTTTGCATGGAAGCGAGATGAACGGTGAGCTTGCAATGACACAGACATGCAAATAATTGTCCGAGCTGTTTAAAAAAGGTCTCTATAATTGCTGCTCTTCCTAATTAAAGCTTTTCACCCTACTATCCCCATCCCCTCCTCCACTTCTTAAATTTTCACTTATTAAAGCTACTGGGAAACCTTCTTACAAAACCCTGATCAAAATTCTTGTGAAATTTGTGGTCCCTCCCCCCGCTACGGGCCTGAAAAATTAATATTTTTCAAGCTAATTTTCAGCGATGTGGTTGTGAAGTGAATTCTTTTGGATAATATTTCACAATCATTCCGGATAGCGGGTTCGAAACCTAAATTTTTTACTGATTTTTTTTGGAATATCGGAATAGATTGGAGATTTGAAATTTAATCGCGAAGTCTTGGAAGCTACGTTTGAATTTCCAGAATTACTGGTCATGCGTGACGTTAATGTGCTGTAAAATGTCCCATTACTGACAAGGTTACTGTAAATGAATATACGTTTGACAGTAATTTGTTAAATACTAACCTAAAGAAGACTCCAACCGATCGCGAGTTACTTGATTTTTCAATCTCGCATTGTCATCTTTTAAATCTGAATTCGGAACATTAGGATCATTAATGCACCAAATCTTTAACTTCTCGTTCTCTTCATGACTTTTCTTGATGTCTAGAGGATCTGTCAGGAGCTTTTCGATCGCTGTCTTCCATTTTAATACAGCAGATGGGTTAGAACTGTTATAATGATTGACAATTCTCAGTAAAGCATCTTTAATGCGTTTCCAAAGGTCTTGGAACTCACTGTCATCCAGCTCTATTTTGACTTTATGAGCGTAAACAGCATTCCGATAATTCTTGATCCTCGCTAGATCGGCTGGTAAAGTCAAATCTTTGTCGTCAGCAGGAAGCTCGTCCCATCCTTTTGGTGGTGGAGTCAAGCAACATAATTCTCTCAGCAGTTTGAATATCAAAGTTATATCAAAATCAGTAGATTTTCCACAAGAAGTGTCGGTTGGGAAAAGAGATTTCCACTGCTCAGAAGTTATTATACGTTTCTTTTTCAGCCTTTTCAATGTTCTATGTACTTTTGGGAACAACAATACATGTGGAAAATGGTGGGGAGGGATTATGTTGTCCAATAATTCTCTTAAGATAACCGTTCCTCCTGCTATCAAGAGTCTTGTTAGTCTCGTGTAATTATTCTTCTCTTTTGAAGATCGCAATATCTCGATTGGGTCTGCTGGAGCACTGGCCATACCTGCAATATTCTAATCATAGTATGTCTCCTAAAGTTAAGCCACTGGCCATAATGGAAGGCGTTTCGTTAAAGCCTGGTTTCCTTATAATCGAAAACGAACATAAACGATCGAGAACGATCGCAGTATCGTGGAGCTCATTGGAGTGTAAGGATCGCAAACGATCGTTAAACGACCGTTTCCATATGACCGAAAAAGGTYAAAGTTCCAAATTAGAGCTGGTCTCTCGATGTTTGATGTATACAGAGAGCCAGACGAGATTTTCGTATTCCCTAGGTACAGCATCCCTGCCAGGACCTGCAGATAGAATATTTTTCCTTCGTTTCAAGAAGCGTCCAATCGCTCTTCGAACGTTCAGGATTGTTTGTCGGCTCGAGTCGGCAGAATAGCGAAATATTCAGCTACTAGTTTTTACTTCAAACGCCACCTGAGAGTTTGTAAACAAGCAAACAGTTGCTGTGACATTACAGTTTAGAAAGCATTGCATCTTCGAAAAAATCATATATTATGGTACACATTTCGATCGTACGGATCGAGACGGATCGCAAAATTAGAACCCGGTTCTAATTTTTCGATCGATTACGATCGTGATCCAAAATGCATGATCGAAAACGATCGTACGATTGAAAAACTTTAATTCCATATGATCTCAGACGATCGAAAAAAAAAATTTTTTTTTGATCGGTCTCGATCGCTTTCGATTATATGGAAACCAGGCTTAAAGAAGAACCTATTTTTCAAAAATTTCATTTCCTATACTAAATATTTATCCACCCACTTTTTCTTGGAAGTGTTTATATTTTTCACAAAAGATTCCAAGAAGGCTTTGTTTCGTTTACGATAATACTTTCGAACAAAGGAATACATATTTTTATTATTTCATATTTTTCTCCAGAAATTAGAATTTCTCTAATATCAAAGCCTAAGAACTAATATTACCAAGAAAAGTCATTTTACATGTTTTGATATTTCTGGTTATAAGGGAAGTTATCTTGGTGGTACTCGTTGATATAAACAAACTTTGGAGTCCTTTCACTCCATGTCAGTCGGAAGCAATAAAAACGTTTTCCAACTTTTTTTCGCATCACCAGAAATAACATATTCTTTTCTACTTTAACCTAAACTTTCCAATAAATTAAATGTTATTTTTTAATAGTAACTTAACGTTCCTGAGAAGCTACACAAGTCCTTCCCCTCATCCTCACTAGTAACTTTTTACTGCTACAGCTTCAGTTTACTGCATTTGCAGCTGCCTATATTGAAGTTACTTGATATACTGCGAGGATCAGCTCAATTTGATAAACTCTTTACTCGTATAAGAGTAAAAGATTCACACAGTTACAATACAATGAACCCAAAAAATCAATAAATATTATCCAGAACGTACATATATTTCGTCAACCTCGATTCCCTCTTGAAGATTCAGCGTTAAAGTATATTCTTAAACGCAAACTTTCTCGAACGCTCAAAACTAAGCAGGAACTAATAAATATATCTGTGAGTTTTCCCAAAACTTACCTTGAGTTGTCACCAGCTAATAAAAGACAAAAAGAATGTTGAACAAACGACAGCCACAGCTTCTTACATCTTCGAATAATTCATGGTCTTAGTCTTCGCTTGGACTTTCATTTTGAAGAGGGTTCCCCGTTCCCTTCTGCGTCGCAAAAACAATACGTCATTAACTGGTGAAACGATGTGCGCATTCTCAATCTGTGTCTAGACAGGCTAAACTTAATATATTTTTTAATTCATTCATATTTTTCTCCAGGAATAGGAATTTCTCCAATATGAAAGTCTAATAACTAATATTATTAAGAGAGTTATCGCTTGAAATGTTTTGAAGGTGTTTCCAGACGCATATTGCGGTAAGCATCAGAAAAAAACATTTAAGCGTGAAGCTCGAAGACACAGCTTGAATATTTATTAAAATTGAAGCAAAATGCAGATTAGCTACATTTACGAAGCTGTAGAGAATCTCCTTAGAAACGAATATCAAGATCGAAGTTTACAGTGAAAAACAGAGCAATCTCAAATAAAGTAATTAATACTTTTTTATTCTAAAACTGTTATCATCTTAAAGATGATAAGTTTAATATTAATTAAGTCTCATATGATGTTTTTCACTTTGTTTTTCATAACTATTTCACGGGTATATTATTTGCACTCTAATATATCAGTAATTTATTCGTCTTTTTCTCCGGAAATTATAATTTCTCCAATATGAATGCCTAAGAACTAATATTTATATAATTCAATATTTAATGTTTAGTGAGACTCTGTTTAGTGAGTAGGGGTAGGGTTACCCTTTACCAACAAACTCTGGATGTGAAATTCTGGTTTTTATCCTAAAATATACCTATACTAAAAATAATGTTAAACCTTCAGTAATGAATGTATCGTTTGTTTTCATATATGCTATTCAACGTATTTGTGAATAGGAATAGTCACTACAGATACCCAATGTCGAGTATTTAATTAACAGACTACAKRTCTCTGAGGGGGWGGGGTKGGGGTATTTAACAGTCCTACCAACGAAATCAATAAAAGTGGGAATCAGTTCGGTGTGGACCGGATGACCTTGCCTCTTACAAAATATTTATAAAAAGTTGATGGTTCATCTATCGACTCATTTCGTCTAAGTCGTTAAAATACGAAATATTCACAAATTGGTATTCTCGACAGCTGATTGGTTACGAAAGTATTCTATTGTTACTTACCATGTTACTTTGGAGGGAAACGATGGCAATCGTCGTAGTAAACACTCAAATATATGGTCTCTTGTGCGATGGCAAGAAATTCTTTCTTGACACGCATGAATGTTCATTGTAAGAATTAGCATATCGTCAAGTAGCTTGTGGGAAACGCTATGAAGCATTAGAAAAGCAAACTAAGATGCAACCAGCTTGACGGGTCTTTTAAAAATGTTARAAGCAATCAATAAAACCCATCTTTTGCGCATAGAATTTGTACATCCTATTTTACAAAAAAAGAATCTGGCCGATTCAGAGAAATTCGAAAATAAACGAAAAGTCCGAATTTTGATCATAATTTTGCAAGAAAAACCTACGTAAAAAAATTATTACTCAGCTACTAAAACATTATTTCCAACCAAACGTTTACAGTTCATAACTATAAAGTCGATGGACGTTTCTGTGTACTTTGAAGCTACGTTACTTGGTTCCACATATTTTAATGGTATTGTGTGTGAAAAATGAGAAAAATCGAGGTTATAAAATGTTCGCATTATATGTTTTCTCAAAATCTGCGCCACAGAATGTTTTTAAACTTTGATCTTTTGTAAGTCATATATCATGGTTTGTGTAAATGAAGCAATTTGAAAATAAAACGAGCGAAACACACAGAATTTGCTTTTTTCTTAAT